ACCCAGGCGCCCCATGGCTGAGTGTAGTTTCATGTGAGGTGTAGTGGTTCTCAGTGGGGTGATTTTTGGCCCCCACCCCAAGACACTGGCGGTGACTGCAGGCAGTGTGGTCGTCCTAACCGAGGCGGTGGCTACTGACATCCGGAGTGGAGAAGCCAGGGATGCCACTAAGCATCCTGTAATGCACAGGACATCCCCCCTTGATGAAGAATGATCTGGCCCAACATGGTCAATTGCACTAAAGTTGAGGAATCCTGCTTTTAAAGATTTTTTTTTTTTTTTAATTTATTTGACATAGAGAGAGGGAACACTAGGAGGGGGAGTAGGAGAGGGAGAAGCAGGCTTCCAGCTGAGCAGGGAGCCCGATGCGGGGCTCGATCCCAGGACGCTGGGATCATGACCTGAGCTGAGGGCAGAAGCTTAACCGTCTGAGCCACCCAGGCGCCCCGAGAAATCCTGCTTTTAAAGTAATACTGGACTCCTAGCTTTAAGTAACATGGATTCTCAATTCTCATGTGAAGGAAAAAATGTTGGTTTGGAACTATCTTTGTCCTCTCTTTCTAACAGAACAAGCAGCCCTCAGGCTAGGAGCCTCCGGCAGGACACACTATCCAGCTAGAATTTATTAGTAATATTTTCAGTGTTAATTTTTACAGTTAGCTTTTATTTCTGACAGATGCTAGCTTTATATGCTTAGCCTCCCTTTTTTTTGAGAGCGAGTGTGAGCAGGGGACAGGGCAGATGGAGAGAGAATTTTTTTTTTTTTTTTTAAGATTTTATTTATTTGACAGACAGCAAGAGAGGGAACACAAGCAGAGGGAGTGGGAGAGGGAGAAGCAGGCTTCCTTCGGAGTCAGGGAGCCCGATGTGGGGCTCGATCCCAGGACCCCGGAGTCATGACCTGAGCTGAAGGCAGTCGCTTAACCGACTGAGCCACCCAGGCGCCCTTATTTCGTCATTTTAAAAAGGCAGTATTGAACCATCCATTGCTGGGTCCTTTTACTTTTAGGGAGATGTCTTCTTAATGGCCACTTTAAATCTCTTCCTGCAGTGGAGTTAAATTCTCCTCTAAGTTCTGGAATGTGTCTGATGACCCTTTTGTTGTCACTATTACAAGGTGGCCAAAATGTCCTTCATGTTCCTTTCTTTGTGGCATTATAATGTCCATCTTTCAGAACGTCCTCTCAGATGCCCCAAGCTTCTACCCTCTCTAGAAACTCTCTGCCGTAGACACCGTGTTGTTTTTCATGTGGATTTCCCTGCCTTGCTTTGGAAGGAAGCAAGTGCACGGGGCTAAAATGGGACTAAAATGAGAAATTACGGAGTGAGTAATTCTAGATCAGCGGTGGCAGGCTGGCTTTGCTGATGGGCTTCATCTGCTCTACCACCATGCTTTCGTCTCCACGGTGACTTCATAAAACTTGAATTAATGAACTGTTAAAAATTAACCTATTTTCACACTAAGTCTGGAATTTTGGCTTCTAGAAAACTGGAAAAGCCCCTGGGCGTGACTGTGCAGCAGCTGTCTCTGTTACGGATGGTGGGTGGGTCAGCGTTGTTCTGGGCTTGGTGCAGAGTGGGGCTTCCCGCCGTTCTGGAAGCCGCGGCGCTCGCCTCATACGTGGCTTCTCTCTCCCTTTCCCCCCAGCTACGGCTCCTCAGCAGGAAGCGGATGCCGAGGTGAGCACAGAAACACTAAACAAGTCATCACAGGGGGGCTCTTCCAGCACACAGGCAGCCCCTCCGGAAACAGCCAGCACCTCGAAAGACAAGGAGACCTCGGCGGAGAAAAGCAAGGACAGCGGGTCGGTGAGTAGCCACTCGCCTTTGGCCAGTGACGCCAACACTTCGGGCCACACGGAGTCTCAGCACCCGTCCCCATGCCTGCCACCTCTGCACGTCCCATGTGGGTAGGAGGTTTGTCTGCAAGGTGGTCAAGGCAGCCTGCTGCTGGGGGTGATAATCTTAGCTGCTCTTCAGCAGTGGGCATGCGGGCTGGGACAGAGGGACGTGGAGCCCGAGTGGACGTTTGTGTGACTTGGCAGCTGCTCTCCGGGGACTCTCAAAGTCTACAACAGTGTGGTCCAGTAGAACCTTCTGTGATGACGATAGCGTTCTGTGTCTGCTCTGCCCAGCGTGGCATCCACTGGCCACATGTGGCTGCTGAGCGCTCGCACCCTGGCTGGAGGGAGCAAAGGCTCGCACTCTCAATTTCAATTTTAATTAATTTAAATATAAATAGTCACATCAAGCTAGTAGCTGCCGTATTGGAAAGCGAAGATGGCACCTCCTAGTTCCCAGTGTGTGGTGTATGTCACATGGATTGCATGCAGAAGTTATTTTCGGTGGCACATTGATAATGTTCTACATTTGTAGTCATTATGTATTTATTTCAATGTGTATTAGGAAGAGAATAAGTCCTTATGCCATCCATCCAAACCCTTTGATTTCATTGATAATA